TCTCCTCTCTCTACAGTAAGTGCTCTGACTGGACTGTCTTGAGTGAATCTGAGCCAGGCAGGCATTTTCATAAATGCTTGACATCCATTAAGTACCACATCTCAGAACCCCGAAGTAGAAGCTATTATTATTCCCATTTCACATATGGAGAAATTGAGGCATTAAAAATCAAGAAACTTGCTCAGTATTCCCATTTTACATTTCGAGAAATTGAGGCATTGAAAATTAAGAGACTTGCTCGGGTTTATATGTACAGTTTTTAGATGGCAGATGCAATATTTGAATCCATGTACGTTTGACTCCATAAGCTAAAATTCTAATGTCTTTAATTCTGCTGTAGGGGTTGGGGATTTAGCTCAGTGGTAGAGCACTTGCCTAGCAAGCACAAGGCCCTGGGTTCGGTCCTCAGCTCTGGAAAAAAACTCTGCTGTTGTGGCATATGTATTAATGACTTAATTCTGCCATATATAATTTAGAATTATTTTTTGAGACACAGTCTCTCTATGTAGCCCTAGAACTCTCTTTGTAAACCAGACTTGCATTGAACTTACAGAAATCTGCCTGCCCCAGCTTCTGAGTGTTCAGACTAAAGGCATGAGCCACCATGCCTGGCTACTCTTATTTTTTAAAAGAAGGTCTTGCTATGATTTCAGACTGGCTTTGAGCTCACAGTAATCCTCATGCCTCAGTCTCACAAATTCTAAGATCACAGGCATGTAACAGCACAATCAGGTAAGGACTTGTTCTTTTAGTGCTAGAGAAGTGTGTGCTCTACCACTAGCAACATCTCCTGAAAAATGCATACTTGTTTTGTATGTAGGTCTGACTGTCTGCTTATGTGTCCAGGGTGGGGGTTGTACATATAGAGGTCAGAGGTCAAATCAGTGTTTTCACAATCATTTTCTGCCTTAGTTTTTTTTTTTTTTTTTTTTTAAAGACAGAGTCTCTCACTGAACTGAAAGCTCACGAATTCGGCTAGGCTGGAGGTCTAGGACCAGAACTCTAGGGACCCACCTGTCTGCCTTCGCAGCCCTGAGATTACAGGTGTGCCTGGCTTTGAGGAGGACGCTGGAGATCTGAACTCAGTTTCTCATGCTGCTGATGAGTCACTTCCTCCATGGCCAACCTTCTCATCTGTGCAGTGTTAGCCTGTCCTTTCAATTGGGAATGTCTTTCTCTCTTGTCAATCATCCTTCTCATGGCTTTTCAGTTTATAATGCTCTTTAAATCCTTTTCTTTACATCTATGGTAGGGTGGGACGTGTGGGGCAGTCAGAGGACAACTTGCAGGAGCTGGTTCTTTCCTTCCACTGTGGGGTCACAGGGCTCAAACTCAGGTAGTCAGGCTGAGTGGCAAGTACCTTAGCCACTGAGCCACCTCACAGGCCTCCCCCACCCCTCACCCCTGCCCCCTTTCTGTAAGAGTCTATTGTAACCCAGGTTGGCCTTGCACTCCTGACCCACCTACCTCCACAACTGCTGAGATTACTATCCTGTGCCACTAAGGCTTACAAGGCTCTGTTCTGTGTAGAGCTTTACTTAACATTCTCCTAAGTCGCTTACAGTTGCTCTCACTGTGGCTTTTCTTTACCAGATGAAGAAGCTAGTGTTGGAAAGACTGCATATGGTGAGGGTTAAAGCCAGAGATACCATTTGGTCAAGTCAGTGTTGGAGCTAAGCCAAGACACGAATTCTGTCCTCTTCACTCCCAAACCCAGTCGTTTATGTTTCTGGGCTCCTCTCCCAGTGCCCAGCCTCTTCTGCATCCGAAACACACTTTCACAATCCAAAAGAGAGTTCAGCTTCCGCTCTACCTTTTTAAGGGCTTATATCTAAAGCGTTTATTTCATCCTGTGTAGAGCTGTGATCGTGATCTATATATGCGCCTTTCCCTCCAGAAAAAGTCTTGACGTAATGCAGGTAGATTTGATCCCGTAGAGCCTAAGTTGGGCCTGGCACTCAACTGATGTATGCGATGCAATGAAAGCATTTAGTCGTCAGTCAGCGATGCACATCGACTGCAGAGCGAGCTTTTACAGTCTTCTCCACGAGTAGAAGCTCAAAAGTGTCAACTTCTGTTCCTGTTTTGTTTTGTGGGGGGAGGGGTTGTTTTTGTTTTGTTTTGTTTTGTAATGCCTGGTGGTCGGGAATGGGAGAGGCATGGGATTCCTCACCTGAGGGCTCAACAGGGTTCTCGGGTGCTTCAACTGCATGATGCAGACAACAGGCCTGCATTGGCGGCGCTAGTGGTTGACATACAGGCGACATACGTCATAAGGTCACCTAGTGGGTTCTCGAAGGTGCACACAGGACCTGGGCAAGCGCAGTGAGTCCTAGGGCAGAATCATAAGGGGATTGTTGAATTCTCTTCCCGACCAATCTCATAGCTGCATGCACACCTAATACAGAGCTCCGCCCACAAGCTTCCTCCCTCTCTGGATTCTACATCACCAAGTCCTTAAGTGTTCTTATTGTCCTACCCGGCCAGTGTCTCTATAGCTGCTCCCCTGCCTACCTGTTTTTCTTAACTTCCCTGGCAGTAGAAGGAATTAAATCACCCTATTCATCTGAGCTAGACAGTTGTGAGCCTTAAGCAGGTAAACGAGAGGTTAAAAGCCAGGGAAAAGGCCACTAAAACAGGCTCTTACATGGGCTGGAGCTTTTGGAGGGCAGCCTGTCAGAAACCTTGAGAGTTTGGAAGTGCACACGGGGCCCTGGGGGCCTCTCTTCCCAGAGGCCGATGCTCCTGACCTGCACTGTGTAGTCGCTGTCTTCAGCCAGGCCCCAAAGAGCACAGGCCCTGGTGGTGGTGTTCACCTCCCTGATTACACGCTGCCCGGGGCCATTCTGTCTCTGCAAGGAGATGTAGAGAAAGGAGGGCAGCCTAGCCCCAGTCAAAGAAGCCATGGTTTCCACTGAGTTCGCTGGAGGCTCCAGAGGCATCGATCCTGGAAGAGGCAGGAGTTGAGGGGTCAGGAGCTGCCCATCAGGCAAGAGGGATGCAGTAGCTCTCTAACAGTCTTCT